TAGTATCAACGATAACAGATCTACAGTGTGGTGCAGTGGTTTATGGGGAAAACAAAACATGGGGGGGGAACGAGAAGACAAAAATACGTTAACCCTGTATACGAAAACTCTAGAATCTGGATTTTGCAAACGACATTTGGCTAATACCACACACAAGCTCAAGGAAGAAGAAGACGGAGGTAATGAAGATAACCAACCAACCCGGATTAACTGAGGTACTAGGCAGCGTCTGGGAATCAGAAGAAGTCCCATCGGGTTGGTGTAAGTCACTGATTATCCCCATATACAAGAAGGGAGACAAGTCTTCCTGTGATAATCACAGAGGGATTAGCTTGACTAATATAGTATCTAAAGTCTTAGGCTCAATAATCATGCGTAGACTGAGTGGTGCTCGGGAAGCACAAACACGAGAGAGCCAGGCAGGCTTTAGACCAGGAAGAGGGTGTATTGATCATATCTTCACCCTCCGACAGATTCTAGAACATAGGAATTCCTACCGGCGTCCAACAGTCATTATATTTCTTGACCTAAAGGCAGCATTCGACTCTGTCGATCGGGAAGTTCTCTGGAGATGCTTGGCTGTAAAGGGAATTCCAAGAAAATATATTGCACTGATTAAGGCACTCTACTCGTACTCATACAGCCAGGTGAGGGCTTACGGCGAGCTGTCATCTGAACTGATGACGACCAGTGGTGTCCGTCAAGGATGCCCATTATCTCCTTTTCTATTCAACTTCATCATAGATGTGTTAATGGACTTAACCCTAGGTGACTTCAGCGACTCAGGGATTGACTTGCTACCGGGGAATAATCTCGTTGACTTGGAATATGCAGACGATATAGTCCTTCTAGGCGAAGACGCTGACGAAATGCAGAGTCTTCTAAACACCTTGAGCCGCAATCTACGAATGTTTGGCATGCGATTCGCTCCCGCCAAATGCAAGATGATGTTACAGGACTGGACTACATCGACGCCTAGTTTAAAAATAGGAAGTGAAGTGGTAGAGCACGTTGACCGCTTCACTTATTTGGGAAGTACCATCAGCCAGTGCCAACGGGTTGATCTCTGACGAAATCTCAGCACGAATACAAGGGGCTCGTTTCGCATTTGTCAGTTTACGCCGACTCTGGCGTAGACGAGATGTTCGACTATCGACCAAAGGGCGGGTGTACTGCTCATCAGTCCGCTCCGTCCTCCTTTATGGTTGTGAGACCTGGCCACTGAGAGTGGAAGACATGAAAAGACTAGCTGTCTTTGATCATAGGTGCCTGCGTTCTATTTCCCGTGTAAAGTGGCATAATAAGGTGAGCAACATGGAGGTTAGGCGTAGAGTTCTAGGTAAACAGGGGAAATCAATCGACGAAGTCGTGAAGCTACAAAGACTGAGATGGTTAGGACATGTGTTACGTATGCCAAGCCATCGCCTCCCTCGACGAGCAATGTTAGCGGATATAGGGTCAGGCTGGAAAAAAGCTAGCGGCGGTCAAACAAAAACTTGGCATCAGTCAATGAAATCCACAACAGTTGGTCTAAGCCACGTAGGAAGGTGTAGACTTCCAGGCTGGGGTCCTCGGGACGGTAAAAATCTATGGTTGGAAACAATTGGTGACATGGCTCAAAATCGTTCTCAGTGCACAGCGCAGATGCATCCACTCCCTGTGACTTATGATCTCCAATGAAACTGTTTTGTTCTTCGTTATTACTCCTTTGTCTCACACCTCTGCTCACTGTTTCTATTATGCTTTTCTTGTACTTTCTTCTCTTGCTTCGCGTGCTACACGGAATGTGGCGACTTGAACTTCCGCACATTTGTGCAAAGTTCTATGTCGAAAACAGACAGACAGACAACAACAACAAACACTAGTCACACTATCAACGGCATAAATTTGAATGACATCACTTCCTTCACTTATTTAGACGTAATTTTTTTCAACTACAGGCGACATTAAATATAAGGATACCAAAGACGACAACAGTGAGAAAGGCGAAACAGATGCTCGTCACTCTGAAATCAGTTTGGAAATCTTTTGCACTCTACAGGTATAAAGAACTACATTCTGATTATTTAAGCATCAGTGTTTAGTCAGTCGGTTCTTCTACAACGGTGAAAAACTTGATTAGCGTGTCAGCAATAGCATCTCCAACAGGTCAGCTACAGACTTTTATCAACAGCTGCATTCTCTGGCTCCATAGTGAAGACCGAATAGCTGGAGGCAATAGGTGACATGGCTCAAAATCGTTGTCAATGGCCAGCGCAGATGTATTCATTCTCTGTAATCTTTCATATTCCTTTCTACCATTACCCATTCTGTTTCACTCTTATACTTGTCAAACTATATTGATTCTCTTCACTCATCTTCTTGTCTACCTCTGTGTGCTATTTGGAAGGTGGCAACTCGAAGTGCTGCACTTCGGTGCCAAGTTCTATGTTGAATCCAGATAGACAGACAGACAGAATAGCTACCCAGAAAGAATTAAGAACAAGAATCTCTGGGAACAAACGAACGCAGGACCTTTTGATTAATAAATATTCTGAAGAAAATGGAGATTGATGGAGCGGACACACGCGCTAACCATCGAATAACATCTTGCTCCAGGCATTAACTCGAGTAGATACCAAAATGGGAAGTGATAACGGTGGCTTTTGAGGGTGTGACGTGGAAGAGATGAAAGTTTATGGGAGTTGCAGGGCCAGCTAAAGAGGACTGTAGAGAATAAGACAAATGCGGGGGGGGGTGTGTGTTGTTGAAGCCCTATTCTCTTCGTTGAGCTCAGAAAAATAATAATCATACATTAATTTCTCCTCACATCCAGTGACTGACTTGGTGTGGATCCCACTGATTGAGACTTCTCACTAGAACTCCTCCAGGCAACTTTGTCGTGTTTGACTTGTTCCGCGTTTGATCAAGGATAGAAACACTAGTAGGAGAACCACTGAAAACTGCCAACAGGGACTACTGAACAATCTTTCACCTGCCTAGTTCAGAATTGGCTCTTCAGGGACAATACGCGCCTGTGTTCTTCCCGCTACCCTCGCCCATAGTTTTTAATTGGCCACTGATGATTCAGTTCAGGATTTATTCAAATCCCCCACTGCCAGTCAGTCAACACTTGAAAATGAATCTGATGTTGACTATTGAGTGACTCAATGACTAAAGGATGAAAGAACCTGGAGGAGTTCTAGTGAGTAGTTGTGACAAGCGGCGTCTAGGAAGTCACCGCGGGTGTGGGAAGACATACTGTGGTGAGAGCAGGCCGTTCACTGGAGATGGGACCCATACGGTCATTGCGATTGTGTCCGCGTAATCCCATCTCGAAGTGACCATATGTGGTCCTTCCCACTTTGGAAACTGTTTGCCTGACCCTGTCGAACATTCGTCAGTATTTCGTCTCACACTTTCATATGCTGCTTTCACCCGAACTACAGAGAACGATATTAGGAGCGGATTTTCTGCGGGAGATTGGTGCAATAATCGACACGCAAGCGAAAGTTGTGGTCACGAAATACGGGCGTATCAACATGTATGAGACCAGCGAGATAGCAGCGGTTAGGCTGTCGGCAGTACAGAATATGGCAGAGTTAATTAATAAAACGATCTGTTGCCTGGCCCTTGTCTTCTGTTGTTACAATACTCTCTGATGATCACACTGGTTGATGGCCGTGGTGCTAAAATCACGAGGCGACAGAAGTTAGAATTCATGGGCCAAGCATTTAATTCGGTTGCGCCTAAGTGACTGAATAGTCGTCAAAATGCTTGGGCTGGTAACTTAAAGGTGGGATCATGGTTGCTTAATTAAAAAGATTCTGTTATTGTGAGTATTGAAACAGTTATCCAGTACTCCCCATGGCAGGTTTTCAATGGTTCTCTAACTGACATAAATCCATAATCGGAAGTGGAACAAATCAAATCTCTTCCACAAAGTAACTCTTGTAAACTAATCTAAGGCCTACTAGTGAGCTGCTAACTACAGGATGAAGCTGTCTGATGGTGGTGGTCATTTGTGGTAAATGCCTTTTGTAGATATCTTGAACTCTCAGCTAGTGAAATCTCTTGTGATGTTCAATGCATTATAAGGAATGTTAAAGATTTATAGTTCATCTTACCAATCGTCATGATTTCGATCTATTCAGTATTGATTTGATTGATGAAACCATCATTTTCGGAAATACTTCCTCCTGATACTGATTTCAATGGAGCAATGCAAATTCTTCGTAAAATGTTTGGACACCATGCAGTGGTATTCAATATCCGTTAGAAATGTTTATTTCTGGCCGAGGAACAATGTGATAACTTCCTTAGTTTTGTTGTTAAAGTCAACCGTGCACGAAGCAAATATCTCACAGTATTTGGGGAGGTGGGAGAGGTGTCATACACAGAGTACTCATATTTACAAATATCTTCTGGTGATCTTCCGATTGAAAATCTATTAAAACGGGCGGGGGTGTTAGGACGGATTAACTATCTTTGTTATCCGTGAAGTTATAGTTGATACATGCGCTGATATAATGACATCTTACTGGGCAATTTTTGACTGATTGATTTTGGAGGATCTCTGATGTCATGCTACCAATCAGATATTGATTATCTATATGATTGTTTAAATTTCCATTGATGTGTAAACAATATATATACTCTATATTATGAAGATAAAATGTTGTCTGTGTTGCTGTCGCGGTTGTCGCAGTTGAATCTGATTTCTGTGTCATCCATCTCAGTGTGGTGGAGGAATACTTTCAAGTGACCATTCGGTCGGAGTGTCGTGTCTGGAGGCGCATTATAGTCAAGTTAGACAATGACCAACAAATCCCTAACACTCCGTTATAACACAAACTTTTATTGAGTGAATTGAGATAAAATATGCGAGGGAGAGAGAGGTGGTGACCAAAATATAAATATTGATTACCAGTGCCAAACAATCATTTTATAAAGTAATGTCCATCAAACAGAATCATTTTTAAAAATATTTTTTTGTTTAACTTCACTTTTTCATTCGTTAGACAGCAAATCAATTAAATCAGTTATCAGCCCGTAGAAAGGCGAAGGCAGAAAGAGAAATCAGCAGACAGAAATTATTGGAACAAATAAAGTTACAGGTGAGTTAGGAGTTCGAGTGTTTCACATCTTCGTTATTTCACTCTTTTCACCATAGTCCTTTGTTTGGCTGTCTACATGATCGCTGCCAGAAGCTTTCATCTCCTCCATGTCACCTTCATAGTTTACCTGCCAATTAATGATTCCAGTCGAAACTTCCGTTATTCGAGTGTGATTTTACTCAACCGTCTCCTTAATGCACGTACGAGATCGATGTTCTTCATTTCTTTCTCCATATTCACCGGTTGAGCGATAGGTTATTCTGTTGTTTCGTTGTTAGAGATGATTGGTGCTTTTATTCTTTCTGTGTGTTCACTTAGAAGTCTCTTATAACCCGATGGAAATGCTTAATGTTACTTATATTTTTATTATTGCTCGCTTGCTTTCTGAGTGGAACATATGGCTTCTACCGGAGCACACCTCCATTTTTCCCTATTCCCTGCAATTCTTTTCACCTGGACCCATAACCACCTATTAGATTTCATCTCCTCCTCACCACACAATCTCGTCCACGTCAGCCTCAGACTGACGTCAAACTCATCGTTTCTCAATCGCGTCCCACTTGAGAGATGACCTTGCTAGTACACAAATTCATTAGACGATCTCCTCAGAATGCATTCGATCCATCCATTTCCATCTTCTTTGGAATATTTATTCAGTAGGCAGTAGGTTCTTAATTGGTTAATTCCGAGTGCTGTTTGCTGATAATTCTTTCTGGACGGCCATCTAACCTTCAGTATAGAGCCAGAGAAGGCAAATGATGACAAAAGTTTGGAGCAGAAGGTCTGCAAGAAATGAAAACCATAACGTACTGACCAAGTTTCTGACCCATATGGAAAAACTGAATGATTTAACATTGCGGTTCAAAATCCCAACCTTGTTTTTATGCCGAGTCCAGAAGATTTCTAAACTGAATTCCAAGTGATGAAAGTCTGTCTTGCCTTACCGATCCTAACTGGCTTTGACATCCGCATCCATTTCTCCTAGTGCTGAAACGATACTTCGTGCATAAGTGAAGGAACTAACCTCATTCAAATCTTTCCCGTCGATACTGATTGGTCCTTTCAGATCTTCCATAATCATTTTATCGGTCCAAAGTATTCCATCCTTCTCGCTCCCTACATGCCTTGTACCGCATAATTCAGTTCGTCACAATTACTAGTATCGTGATTTGTGATAATAAGCAGTCCTGTTTTGCTCCTTCCTTCACTTGAAACGCAGATTTCGTTGAGTTTTTCACTGTTGACCACTTGAAACATGGTACTGTCATATAGCCAGCTATTGAATGAGGTTAATAAAGACGTGGGGTTCTAAATAGTGATACCTAACATTAGAGCTATCTTTCCTAACCTTACAGAAGCACTGACTGTTGAAAACCTTAATCTTGTTCTTTACGCCTAGTGTAGGAGTTTTCCACACACACACACACACACACACAACTTCAGATTAATGAAGGTTTTTCTGTCTTGCTTTTCCAACTCAGCATGCCCTTGATATCCGTAGATGAAAGGATGTTATGCCTAAATAATTCAGCAAAAATGTCACGGATTGCATCTACCTGCTAGTACAACTTAGCAGACAAAAAATCATTAATGAAACAAAACAAAAAACTAACCAGTCAAAATTTTCCCGTCCATGACGTCACAACGTATTTGTGATTTTGAAAAGAAAAAAAAATAGTAAAATAATTGCTTAGAATGTCATTTATTGATTTTCGTGCGATTTTTAGACCAATTTTTGATAATTTATTATATTTCTTCTTGTTTTATTATTTATTTTCCACTGTATTACAGAAAACGGTACAAGTTACGCGTGATCGCGAACGTCTAATCCAGTTGACAAAAGGTTGGGAAATACGTTTATCCCAACCGAAAACAGAGACTGTCATTAATCAAGGCTTGAATTTAAGTTTACCATCGGGTAGAATGATACCGGAATGGAGAAGGAATATCTAAACAATAATCACGTCATCCTTTTTAAGATGTCCACCGATTTAATTTGTAATATATTTTATATTTCTTGAACAGCTTTAAAGACGATTTCCAGAAGATATCTCTAAAATCTACTTGTAAATTCTTCCAAATAATAAGAAAAATATGTAATTACTTAGAATGAATCAAAGCCTAACTATCAGCAAGCAGCATAAAGGACAAAAGTGATTACGCTGAGAAAATGGGAGGTATTTTGGATGACCGAACTTAATCCCAATCCCATGTTAATTCCAACTAAGTCAGTGTAGAAGGATAGAAACTAATGACAGATTCTCACAAGAAACTGAATCGAAAGGAGTACTATCATCGGCTATGTATGAGTCTATGAAACCAACGAGTACCAACACTCCACGTCTTTACCTTCTACCCAAAGTCTACAAACCCAGTTTTTCTCTTCGCTCAGTTTTAGATATGTATAACTCACCATTTCAAGGAACAGCAAAGTGGTTAGCTAAGGTTCTTGGACGTTTGCACAAGCAAAGTGGCGCGACATAGAAATATTGATTGCTTTGACTTCTAAAATATCCAAGAATTGTATGAGGTATAAACTTATATTATCCATGGATATAACACAAATGTACCACTTATAGAAACGGCAGATTACATTTGTTAAGGAAATACCGAAAGGCAACTGGACTTAGGAATCCCCTTATGTAGCCTCAAAGAACTACTCCCTAAATGTACAACCAATGTGCATTTTTTCTTCAATAATTCAAATTACCGACAAGTATATGGAATAGCTACAGGTTAACCATTAGGTTGAATATTAGCTGACTTGTTCCTCACAAAACTTGAAAACGAGAGATTGAAAGACATCACCAAGGAGTTGGATATGTATTACCGTTATATCGATGATAGATTAATCTTAGTTGATGGGAATGCAAACATGGACGAATTGTCGATGTAATCCAATAATTTCCATCCTTCGATTACTTTTACTTGTGAGGAGCAGTAGGATGATAAGCTACATTTTCCGAATGTCTTGTTAATTAGGCGATAAGATGGTTTACTTAGTAGGAGCGTGTATAGAAAAAGTACATTCATAGGGCAATACACACACTTCCTTAGTTACGTGTCCATTAAATATAAAAGAAATGTCGTTAAATGTCTTATTAATAGAACAAGAAAGATATGTACGGATGACCACTTACAATAGGAATTTGAATAAATTCACGATTTCTTGACGGAGGAGGGCTATCCGAGTAGTTTCATAAAGAAACATATGAAAACATGGATGGAAAACCTGAGACTATGACTGCATATATAATAACTTCTGTTTATTAAGTCACAATTTAATAGTGACTTGTCAAGCGAGATTTTATTCTAGAGACTTTCCAGCAGTATACCATCAACATTCTATTTTAGCCGACGAATGACTGGGATAAGCCAGGTAGTTTTGCCACATCTATGTGCATTTATCAATTCAAATGCACCTGCGGTGACAGCTATGTTGGGTGTACTACTAGACAGCTTAGCCAATGTGTTAGTGAACACCTCCCATCTTGGTTTAACGAAGGACGGACAAAAACAATTCGCAACTCAATTTTGTCACATTTAATTGATAATGGTCATGTAGTGGAGAAAACGAAAGCATTCAAGCTGATCATTTATCGAATCACACCGAATCTTTCCAATAGGCTTCGTATTCGTCTACTGCATAAAGACCTTAGGCGATAAGCATTCGAATAAATAATTTTGATGAATTATTTTCAGAAGTCATGCAACGCAAGCAATCCCCTATACTTTGATTGGAAAGCAGGCAACGAATAACTAATGTATCATGCATCCAGCCAGTGTTCTTCATTTGGTGTAGACTGTGAATTGACTATCACAGTTAAATTCCCAATATGGCCACCACTACCGAACTGGATTACTAGCCATCGCATCGCATTGCATTCTTAATTTCTGTTTTTGTTAAATGGTTGGAGACAGTGTGCAGGAATCCACCTTGATAACAATTTTCAATTTCTTGACATGAAGGATGAGACCTAGGTCGAACTCTTGCTGGCAATCCCCTCCAACCATATAACATTTAGTTTACTTATTCTCTCCCATCACGAACTCTTTGACAATGTCTGAACATTAACCTAATGTTATTTTAGTGTAGGAGCTACTTACTGGAAAAGTATGATGTGCCCAAGGTCTTTGTCAACCTTATTCAAAAGTTGGCTATATGAATAAGAAGGACAATAAAATGCCTATCATCACCCCTATGATATTCCTCACTGTGAGTAGCGAGAAGGCAGAAATACTTTGGACCAATTACAAAGACTCTAGGTTTTAAGAAGGACTAAAATGTCACATAAATTCGAAGGCGAAAACCCAACAAACTGAGAGAAAAAGGAAGACATCGAAGACAGGACTTCACAAGTGAAAAAAGAGAGGACGGAGAGGTGAAGACAACTAAACAATCAAAAACAACCACCAACATCAGTGTTATCATCAACTGGGTAAATTTGGAAGAGGTAACTTCCTTCACCTATCTATCTAGGAAGCGTCTTTTCAGCCACAGGTGGAATGGATGTGGATGCTCAAAACCGGAAGTGGAAAGGCAAGATGACACCTTCACCGCTGTGAAATCATCAGTCTGGAAATCTTCTGCACTCAGTCAACATAAACAACACAAATTTACAGTCAGTTAGTTCTTCTGTGTGGGTAAGAAACTTTGCGTCGGTGTCATGAAAAGCACATTTCCAACAGGTTGTAGACTTTTATCAACATCTACCTTCGCCAGCTCCATACTGTAAAAATCAAATGGCCAGAAAGAATTGGAAGCAAGAAACTATTGGAACAGACAAACCAGTTGACCTATTACTCAACAAATATGTAGGCGAAAATGGAGATGCATAGGTCATCCGAGTGTGACATGGAGGATATAGTGAGAGGAGGAGATGAGAGACTATGATCAATCATGGGTCCATCTGAAAAGAACAGCAGAAAAAAAAACAGAGATGTGTTGTCGAAGCCCTATGTTCCACTCGGAACACAAGAGAACGATATAATTATAATTTTAGTTGACGGCTGTGACATAAGCCCTGTGCCAGTTGGCGCACAATCGTTCGAGTTGGGTCTTAGGCATTTGATATTATGAATGTTTTGGTAGACTGGACAGGAATTAGACTATTTTATCTGTTGGTAATCTCAGAGGATATCATGGTGTCGACCTCATGACCTGTGTCTACCAGACAGTGGCATTATGGAAAGCGTTTATTCCTTTGAGGTATAAGCTTTTTGGTACATGTTAAGAAAATCGCAGGTGTACCCAGAAGGACTATGTTTCAATAAAAACAAACGCTTTCTATAATGCTGTTGGCGGAAGGTTAAACAAGATTGTCCAATCAAGTCATTTCATGATCCATATTCGAAGAATAAAATGTTGATTTGGTTTTCAGCCGCTTTCTATCGGTTTCCATCATGTCACAAGTGTACCTATGCTGCTGCACTGAATATAGCTTTTACTGTTTTCTTCACAGGTGTTGCGTTACTACATTCCTCAATTCTATCACCAAAGAACTATGCATATGTACAAATAACTGTAGAGCTGGATAAAAATGAAGTTACCAAAAACAATATTCTTTCCGCTTAATCCTTATCCATTTCCTTGCATTCATATTCAGTAGTGGAAAATTAAACCTGTTGTACACAAAGCCATATCTGTGAACGTATTTCGGAACACTGTCTAGTTTGGTCACGCAGACGACATTATCTTGTCAACTTTGAACAATTGGCACCTGCATATGACTGCTTCACACATAACTCGAGTTACTGTGAAACTAAATAATATACGAAATGAAATCGCTTCACACAGTGGCCCATAGAGTTCGCCAATATCACACATACACGACAGGACTTCACTACATCCACATTCAACCAAAAATTTGCTGATTTCATATTAGAACTAAATAGAGTCAATCCATGTGAAGTATGTGACAGTTGGACTGAACCAGACAGGTATAGATTGCCTGGCTGGAGTCTTAGAAAGCAATAGTTTCGAACTGTTGATAGTATATCAGCAGTTCTCCTTAAGCAAGAATACACAACGGCATGAGACGCTAAGGATAACCTAGAGGTCACCAAACGGTGGTTCACGACCGCTCCTTATGATGTTGCAAGCAGCTTGCACTCATTCTCTCTGAGAATGTACAGGAAGTTTCAAGATCAGTGTTCAATAGTCTTACCAGAAGTCAAATCCGAAGTATAATTCATTCGCTGGAGCTTGTATACATCCATCTCACGAGACAGCTTTCTCAAAGAACTGCATCGTTACACCTAACACTTGGAAAATCAAAAACCTTGTCTATGAAGGGCGGGGCCACGACATGTTTTCGCCCAAATGCCTCCTCTAACAATAATAATAATTTGCTTTGTTCCCAAACAGTATTTGTGATACAGAATAGAATTCTCAGCATTTCACTACAGGATTGCATCCACTTAGTACATTAACAATAAATAAAACTCTACATAGATCATGGGTAGTCTCAGTTAATTTTGACAACATATTAGCATATCGATAGCAAAGCCAAAAGTGAACAGAATGTTTGAAGGTGTTAGAAAAGTATATGCTAGCATATTTACTGGCGTAAGCGGTAACAAAAAGTCGAGATATACAGAGTGTGAGAGAACGAAGAATGTTTTAACAGAGTTAGTAAGGAAGAAGAAACAAAGCACTAGTTTGTTTAGGTCAGATTTATGCCTAAAAGTGAAATTGACTGTTTGGCATATGGAGGGGTAAAGGTTTTGGAATAAAGTAAGATACATAGTCTAGGCATTACTATAGTTAAAACACATCTGATTGGTGTAAGTTTTATCCCTTTCTAAAAGATAGATGAAATAATACGATTACACAGAGATAACAATACAAAACCAACTGTCCTTCAGGAAAGGTCAAAGACGTACCGAACACTACTGATGTGTGGAACAAAGTAGTTGCTGAATTACACTCACATTCGTATAAAAAGATAGAATACAACATTCATCCAGGGTCAGTGTCAAGTGGTGGGCATTTACAACACTAAGCTGACCAATAATCACATGATTATCATT